TGTAGCTCAGCATTTCCTCTTTAATTCTTAAATCTTGATCCTGCTCAGAGAAAACACAACACATACCAAGAAAAGCATAAAATAGGAAAATGATATAAAAATTTATTAAAAACATGAAAGATATGCATGATTATGCTATGAATTCTTGTGAATTAAAGTGCTAAAATACGAGTAAAATACACAACATCAGAAGAGCAACGACTGGATTTAGGTCCCGAATCTCCAATGCCGCTTTGTTGAATCAGCTCATGAAGGTCCGAAGGGATTCCTTCTTTTCTTGTCTTATGCTTACCAGCGAGAGAGAGGTCAACTGATGAGGTCGACTGGTAGTAAACTGGATGGTGAAGATTATAAGGGACCAAATTAGGTTTTTAGCCTTTTTTTTTCCTAATTTAGTATAAGAGTAATTTTAGTTCTCATAATTTAAATTACTTAATTTTAGTTCATAAATTTAAATAATGAACAATTTTAGTTTCACAAATAATTTATCATCCAAAATTTAACAGACGTTAATAATATAAATTTTATGTTAAATAAACATTAATTATATATCATTTAATTTCTTACGTGTCAAATTATTTAATATTCAAGACACATAAGAAATTAAATAATTTGACACGTAAAAAATTAAATAATATAATTAATATTTATTTAACATAAAATTCATATCAGTAACGTCTGTTAAATTTTGGATCGTAAATTGTTTATGAGACTAAAATTGTTCATTATTTAAATTTATGGACCAAAATTAAGTAATTCAAATTATGACAACTAAAATTGCTCCTACACTGGTTTAGGAGGACCAAAAGTGTAATTAAACCTTAATTTTTATATGTATTATAAATACCATTATTAAATCTTCATTAATTTTAATCGAGAAATTGTTAGTCACAAACTTCTGTGAATAAATTTTTTTTTATCTGTATGGCACTCATACAAATCAGGAAAACATTAAAAAAATATTTTTTACCATTATTTAATAAGCTGATATTTTAGTAGAGAAAAAAATTTAAATATATTTTTAATTTTTTTTATATTTATAGTAAATTTATTTTTAATTTTTAAATTTAAAATTAAAATTTTTTAGTTCTGAATTTTTAAAATTATTATTTTAATTTCTCATATGATAAATAACACATATAATAATGATAGATTAATATAATTATGTAACATAAATTAGATTTAATATCAGATTTTTAATAATAATAATAATACTTGTAGCTAAATT